GTGGATGGCTGCACTTACCATCAGGTTGTCATTACTGCTGGTTTCCGCTGCGGGGCCTAGAGGAGTTTCACCGGCTTCGTTTCGAGGCAGTGGAACTTCCACAGCCTGTCCGGCAACTGTCCTTTGTCGGGTGGCTTCTGCAGGGTCCTCATCGCGGCAGTGGTTGGAGGTCAAGCTTGGAGAACCGGGGCAGGGGCCAAGCATTCTTCTGCCCAGTGGTCGTGTTGGCCGCACCTGTAGCACTTGATCGTTCCGGACAGCATAGGAGGTGGCACTTCAGCTTTTTTCACCTGCGTTCTTCTGGTTGATTTGTCTGCAATTGGTTTCCTGTGGGGGTGAAGCTCCAGGTCCAAAATGATAGCCGTGTTGTACCACTCTTGGATTTGCTCCAACACTCCCCTAATACTGCAGGCTTGTCTAAGGTCTGGATCCAGAGCCTCCCTAAAGATGTGCACTAGTAGGCATTCTGGCCAGTCCCGTAACTTCCCAGCCAGTCTCCGAAACTCCCAGATTAGTTCTCTTGCGGGTCTGCCGGCTTGCTTTAAGGCTTTGATCTGGGTTTCCACTTCCACTTGCTGGGTGATCTTGCTAAATCTGGTCCGCATTAGCTGGACAAACTCATCAGCATTTTGGAAGTCAGCAGCTATCCATTCTGATGCTTCTCCCTCATTCATGCCATCAACGATGGCAGAAATCAATTCCCGGTCGGATGGGTATTGATTTCCATATTGGTCAATATGAGCCCAGACTCAGTTTAGGAAGTAGGCTAGCTTCCCGGGGGTCCTGTCAAACGTTGCTCAGAACCAAGGGGGAGGACCTGGGGGCTGGACCCGCTGCTGGGCTTGCGCAGGTGGTTGGCTGGGCGCTTGCTGCTGGACCGGAACCTGTTGCGGGACCACTAACTTGGGTTGCAGTTGTGGTTGCGGCTGGACAGCTACCTGTTGCAGAGCCATGACTGGCTGCTGAAAGGGACCAAGTGGCTGGAAAGGCATTGGCTGCTGGGTGGGGGCTGGCGTCCACTGGCACTGCATCCATCCTTGGCCTGGGTAAAATGCCCATCCAGTGGGATCTGACTTGCTGGCGGCAGCCCCAAAGCCGGTTGCTGGGGTGGGATAGGCAGGCTTCAGAACCCCTGTTGTGGGCCCGGCATCCCGTAGCTAGGTTGGCCCAGCAGGGTTGGCTGCTGGGTCATTTGTATGCCAGTCATGACCAGGGCCACTGCTGGTCTGGGGGTCAAGCTGCTTTGCACTGATTGGAAAGAAGCCAATGCTCTACTCCATTGTACTGCGATTTCCTGACCCGGGAAGGTGAATTTGGATTGTGCCAAAGTCCACTTCAACTGCCCGGTACCGAGTGGTTGAGCCGTTCACTGACATTGAGTTGGCTCAACTACTCCAGAAGACCAGCCAGCGACTGGCTGCATGACGGTGGCAGGAATCCCCATTCTCTGGAGTGCCTGTGGCACGTCTGCTCTGGCATTCTCCATTCATGGGCTGAGGCATGTCTCACACCCATCTGTGGTTCCAACAGCAATTCCTGGTTTGGGGAGATTCCCGCAGCTCTGCTTTGCAGGGTCAGGTCCGGTTGCAAGGTCCATTTAGGCATCGGCTCTTTGCTTCGGGCACCCAGCTGGTGTTCGGCTTCTGTAGCTTCTATGGCTTTCACCATGGCTTGGGAAGGGATGTAGATGGTCTCGACCTGGGTCGCTGGTCCATTGTCTGCCGCTTCTTCCATGGTCTTTTTGTCTTCCTTCATCTTCCCTAAGTCTTTCTGTTACCCGGCTCGGGTCAATGCTTGGGCTCAGGACCCCAGACAACGCCCTGGAGTTTGTGGAAGCTGCTTTAGTTAAAAAGAAGATTCGGATTAATGTCAGGGTTCCAAGTAACACCCCCAATGAAAAAAAACTCCGAGGCTTGGATTTCCTCAAAGTTACTTTTTATTAGAGATGTCATATTGGCACATCTAGGAAAACCTGAATCTGAAAGTTTCCAGGTTTTCCCCACCCAAGTGAAAGTTCAAGTCCCTGCCCAGCACCCTCATGTCCATCACATGGTCCAATCATCCACTGTCCAAACTGAAGACACCTCCCAGTCATCCGACTCCAGGTGCCAGGGCAAGGAATGATATTTTGACCACATATCATCTACACTCTATGCAATCCCCCTACCCATTTTCCCACAGAAGAAGATGTGGCAGGCCTAAAGGCCCAAACGTAAAAGATAGCTTCCAGGTCTGACAGTTTATTTTTAAAGAAGCAACGGATGTAAACTAATCAAGGAGCGAATCAACCTAGAAGTAAGGAGAAATTTCCTAACAGTGGATCAGCTTCCTTCCAGAAGTTTTAGTGCTTCATCAGTGGAGGTTTTTAAAAAGAGACTGGACAACCATTTGTCTGGAATGGTAAAGGGTGTCCTGCTTGAGCAGGGGTTGGACTAGAAGATCTCCAAGGTCCCTTCCAACTCTTATTATTCTGTTAATTCTCAAAGCAGTTGCATCATTTGGATGGCACTTTTTGGATTCTATCAATAGTGTTGGGAAAAACTGACTATTATTGTTTTCTTTAGGTTATTCTTTATTTTTAAGTTAGCTTATTATAGTTATGATTCTTGGACAGTAAAGACCTCAGGGTTGTAGGACTGGGGAAGTGCAGGCATTGGGGTGCAGCCACAGGCAGATGTTCTTGACATGTACAGGGCCTGTGATCTCTAGGACACAATTTGGGCAGAAATGGGTATGTGGCTGAAGCGAATTTATACCAACTCACAGCCATTCCATTCACCCCACACTATTTCCTGCACTGCCCACCACTTTAACACAACAATGGCAAATACCAGGACACAATGTGGTGATGAAATTTATTCAGTTGGATCCAGTTGCTGCATTTGATTGTGTGAAATGACATTCGTTGATCAAAAAAGCAGCCTCTGCACCTGTGAGAAAACGCTGGTATGAGGAAGTGTTTGTTTTTAGTTTATTGCATTTTTAGAGAGATTATTGTTTTGAGAAATTGTGGAACAGTTTTATAAATTCAGTAAATAAATTAAACTGAACATTACCTATGAGCCGATGGGCTGAAAAATACTTCCTGTGAAAAATTAATTTCAGTAGAAGGTTCCCAATGAGATGGAAAAATTGTATGCTTGAATGATGATGCAAAAAAGGGAGGGGGATTGCTGGTAAGGAACTGATTCTTTGATGTTATATGAGCCCCCACCCCTTAGAATTGGACATGAGTGGACAGGAGAAATCTTTATCTTTACCTTTATGCTGGCATTTAAAATTTTCAACTGGAGGAAATATTCTAATGCAGGGGTCCCCAACCTTTTGGACCTCAGGGACCACCAAGTTCATAATTTTAAATCCCGCAGATCACTAATACGAATCCAGAGCGCCGCTTGCTGAAGCGCCTGGACTCGAGTGACAGGATGGGGTCCTTCAGCACTCTTCCTCCTCTCTCTTTCTTTCTCTCTCTCTCTCTCTCTCTCTCTCTCTCTCTCTCTTTCTCTCTCCCACTCATTCTCTCTCATTCTCTCTCTCTCATCTCTCTCTCTCTCCCTCACTCACTCTCTCTCTCCTCTCTCCCACTCTTTCTCTCTCATTCTCTCTTTCTCTGTCTCCCCTCTCTTTCTCTTTCTCTCTCTCCCACTCATTCTCTCTCATTCTCTCTCTCATCTCTTTCTCTCTCCCCCCCACTTTCTCTCATTCTGATTCTCTCTCTGATTCTCTCTCTTTCATTCTCTGTCTCTTTTTCTCCTTCTCTCTCACTCTCTCATTTTCTCTCTGATTCTCTTTCTCTGATTCTCTCTCTCTCTCTTTCATTCTCTGTCTCTTTCTCTGCCTCTGTCCCATTCTGATTCTTTTTCTCTCATTCTCTGTCTCTCTCTTTCTCTCTGTCTCTCGCTTTCTCTTCTCATCTCATGGGCCAGCCAGTGTCTTGGGGCTGAGAGGAAGTAAAGCATCTCCCTGAGAGACTGAGGTGCATGGAGCACCAACAAGGGCCGGAAGAAGTGCGGGAGTGAAGCACTACTTGAACATGCGCGGCATCAGCATTCCACCTTGGTATATTTGTGCCAGCTGGTGGCGCAAAGCAGCCCTAATCTCCTGCCTCTTGGGACTCGTAAATGGTGACTGGTCTGGGGAGCAGCCAGATTTTGCTTCCATTGCAGATGCCAGATTGGCCCCCTGCAAGCTCTTGTCTCTCAAGGAGCGCTCGCTGAAGCGGCGTGGGAAACTTCGACCAGGCTCCTTGAGAGGCGAGAGCTTGCAGGGGGCCGATCTGGGGTCCGCAATGGACAGCAAAATCCGGCTGCTCCCCAGATCAGTAGCCATTTACGCTCCGAGTCCCAAGCAGCAGGAGACGAGAGCTGCTTTGCATCACTAACTGACGCAAATATACCGAGGCAGAATGCTGATGCTGCACAAATGCAAGTAGTGCTTCACTCCCACAACTTCCAGACATCACAATAGCTGCTTCGGTCTGCTTGCACCGCCCCCTCCCCCGCCACGGCAACAGCACCATTATTTCATTCCGGATGGAGAGGGCTGCGCTCCTTTTTGCATATTGCACCCCTTGCAAAGTTGTGCATTGCACGTGCCACCCCAGGGCAGAGATTTCCCACCCCGCCATGGCCGGTCCCATATTCCAGAGCTGTAGTAGTCACACTCACAGGACAGGCCCATTGGTCATCTTGGAGCAGCTCCTCCACCAGGGTGCACCAGCAAAAATATTAAGATTTCTCCACGGAGCACCAAAATTTTCTCGTGGACCACCAGTGGTCCACGGACCACCAGTTGGTGACCGCTGTTTTAATGTATACTTATTATATACTAATATAATGTACAATTATATACTAATATATTTATATAATTAGTTAATTTCAATAGCTAATGCAAATATATAAATGTCATTCTTGGCATTACGGAAGCTTAATGCTTCTTCTATACTCCCAACTGTCTTGAGCAATATACTTTATATTTCTCTCCCATTAAATTACCTCTAGAAAAACAGCTGGAGAAGAAAATACCAGCTATGCAAGTGGAGAAGAGATTTTTGTTAAAGAACCTGTGGATGATGTACAGATTATGCCTGAAATACAGGTAATTGCACAGGCCAATTTTCTGTGAGTCAAAGTCTGCTTTCTCTTCTATTCACAGTAGGTAGGTGGATGGCCACCAGAAGATGTAGCATTTCCTAGGCCAGAGTCCTGTTGGTGGTGACTACAGGACATGGCAAGGGCCAGTCAGCTTTCTAGAGGACTGCCAGAACTGGTTTCACTCAGCTCCTCTATCCTGCCAATTTTGCCTGTTTATTGGCTTAGCTTAGCACTTGCCTGACTCTCCGTCCTCTGATCTCTTGCCCTCCAATGAAAGCATTGGAGGAGGGAGGCCTCAGTGTTTACTGGGGGGTGGGGGAGAGGTCTATTAGTGGCTCAGTTTGGAAACTGACTCCTGAAAGTCCTACCTTTGGCGTTGGGAAGCCTGGTTCTCTTCATTTAGGGCTTGTCCTATTTATACCTCCAGTTGAGATTACTGTGAGGCCCTTTATGTGTATTTCTGAAGCTGCAGCTGCTGCAAAAGATGTCAACTGTGGGTGGTTTGCTGCTCTGCTAAACCTTCTGCACTGGCTGCCCAGGAGCTTCAGTTTTTTTGGGGTGGGGAAAGTCATAAACAAAGGGATCAGAACTGATGACAGGTCATCTTCATTGATGCAGACCTAGGAAATTGCTCATCAGAGATGAGATTGCCCTGCTGTTTGGGCTGTAATGTCCACAATTCTCATCATGATTATTTGCAAGTGAGCCTTATCCCTTTCCACTGGAATACTGACCAATGCATAAGCATCTTAAAGAAAGCAAATGATTCTTTTGAGTGAAATTCTGTGATGACAGGAATCAGCTATTCCTGGACAACTGTTCCTAGAAGGACAGCACATGGATGTTAGGTGACTTTTCAGTTTGGGCCCTCTATTTTCTTCTGGATGTAGTGGAATAATCCAGAAATTTAATAATCTTTACATCCTGTCCCATTTTTGCATCATCCGTGTCTTGTCAGTGATGAACTGTGGATAAATTGTGTTTAGAATAGTTTTTCAAAGCCTCCAAGATGAGAGATTTTGTGAGCTAAACACATACTGTACACAAGGGAGTTTGTCTTTTCTTTGCCCGTTTCTTTTTCTGATGGACACATGTGTGCTCTGTTTTCTAGTTATTTTTGCAAACTTCTGAAGTAGACCAGGAGGCTTCAGAGAAGAACCAGGCAGGAACCAAAGAAGTCCTGTGGTGTGCAGAGTCAGAGGAGCCACACTTGACAGGCGTGGAAGAAGTAAGCCCCCCTGCCACTCTGCCGCTGAGGATGGGGACCCAGGACAGAGGTGGCTCTTCCTCAAGGGTTTTTCTCAGGCAGCATCTGTTCTTCTATTTGGGGCTGGGTCAGGGAGCCTTCTGGACCTTTCCCAGCTGGTTCTCTAGTTTCATCCTTGGCTTTCTGCTCACGATCTGAATAAGCCCAGAGACAAGATAGGGTTTGTCACCCTTGTATTAAAAAATGTAGAAGTTTATTATTAGTTGTTGAGCTTTGCCCAGAAAGAATCAAAATATGGAAAAAGGCCCTTGAGTCAAACCACCTATTCTGTGCTGAATCCAGAATGTTCTTACCCAGTGTTATTTCTGATTTTCCTGTCAATATTTATTATGGTCTTTTTCTGATATATTTATTTCTACAAGGTGTATATTTTTCTCTTATTTCCTTGCTTCAGGGTTTTCATCTTCGACCACTACAGGATACCTTTCAAAGGCCTTCAGCCAAATACATTGCTGCAAGTTTTCTAAGGGTTGAAGCACTCCAGAAAACTATAGTCTAAGAAACAAAATTCACCTCATTTTTATAGCCACTGTTTCCTTTGCAGTTTTCTCTCATTCCATGAGAAGAATACCCTCGAGGTCAATGGGGATACCATGGAGAAGCAAACCTCACAGGCTTTGGAGCCATCTTTTATGACAACTATTGCTTGCACGCATTTAGTATTACTTTTACAGTAGCATAATTGCCTTGAGGACTGGGAAAATTGCATTATCAGTAGAGTATTTGTAGCTTGAGGTTGAACTGTGGTCCTTGGTGCTTCCTGGGTTTGAAAAGTCTGAAGGAAAACCATTAAGCTCAAAGAGCACCAAGAACTCCACAAACTTCATTATTCTTGCCATGGCCCATTGATAGGCACTATTGATAGAATCCATCTTTCTCTGTTTCTCTGTTAGTACCATCTCTCAGAAGGAAAAGAAATGCTTATGCTGCTACTTTGTGCCTTGATTTTGTTTTGTTCACTGCCCATTTGTTCAAACAGCAATAAGTTAGGAAACTCAAAACTCTGGAGGGGAGGCCTTAAAAAGTATCCCGCATTGCCCACCTATGGGCAACAGAGCTAGCAATCCTGGTGCACCTAGCAATGGAGCAGTAACTCTTCCTTCCTTGCTCAATCAGGTTTTTGACATCCTGCCACTATATGGAACATTGCAGCCAAACGAGACCCAGCAAATGTCATTTACTTTCTACGGCCATGCCAACATTGTTGCTTGTGTCAAAGCACTCTGTGAAATAGAGGGAGGCCCCACCTATGAAATTCTGCTGAGGGGTGAAGCCTCGCTTGTTCACTATGTGTTTGACCAAAAGGAAATTGATTATGGGCTCCAGGTAGGTCTAATGTGCTGTTTGTTTATTGAATGAACACACACACACACACACACACACACACACACACACACACACGGAACGCTGTTGAGCTCTTAATCCTCTTTTAGATCTCCTGTTTTTCATCATACTTCCTTTTATTCTCTAGAACAGCGGCCCCCAACCTTTTGAGCACCAGGGACCAGTTCCATGGAGAGAGTTTTTTCCATGGCCCGGAGGTGGCATGGTTTCAATTGCTGCCTGCATCTTGCGGATAGGGCTTTGCTTGTTTGCATGGTCCAGTTGCTGGCAGGCTGTGGACTGGGGCCGGTACATGGGACTTCTGCTCTAGAAGTCATCCTTCAGGCACATAAACACGTCTTTACATAAACACGTGTCCTCAAATGAAGTCCTGTGTTTTGCATGGGTCTCTCAGCATTTTATGAGGATTTCTGAAGGACTGGCCTGTAATCTCATAGAAAACTTTTCAGGCTGGAATGATCTGGCATCGGTCCTCCTGCTCTTAGAAATGTTTCTGACTGATGGGAGGGAATATCCAATTGTATCTGATTCTAGTGGGCTTACTAGAGCATCTGCCACGATGTTCCAGTTCTCCCTGCAGCTCATCCCAGCCAGAAGGAGGTGGGGAGAAAAGGTCTCAGAAGGGACCCTTCCTAATTTTCAGTGAGGAACAGGAGGGGAGCATCTGTGAATATACAGAAATACCAGAACTTGCATATAAATATAAAAATATATTTATATGTTAGCAAACTAGATAAAATGTTATGTTTTTTACAGAGGTGAAAATTGAAACAAGTTTGAATAGTGGACAAGTTGATGCTAGTTAAAAGTTTGCTCACATTTCTTGGAATGATGCTGCTTGAACATCATTGCAGAATAACATTTTCATCACTTTGGGTCTCCCTCTCAATCCATGGGTTAACTCACTTATGCATCTAGGCCTATTGAATGTTTCTAACATTGAAACATTGTGTATGTCTAATAGAAGAAATCCCTCCCAGCCTTGCCTGGTGAAGAGTTGTGAGAGAATCAGGAAGGGGGCTTTGGCCAAAAAGCAGATGCTGTTTCACATTATAATTGCCCTCTTGTCTCCTAAGCCCTTTGACTACATCTGTATGGCTGAGATCATTCTGAAAAACAAAGGAAAAGTTGGATTTGAATACTCTGTGCTTGATGCCGTCCAGGCTTCAGCTGACAACCCACCCCCTGGTGTGCCACTGACTCTCCCTGCCACTGTAAGTAATAATGAAAGGGGGTTGGTTGTTTCAGATTAATTTCTTGGTGACTTTGGAATGCTGATCTATACAAAAAAATATAGAAAGCAAGCAGATTCTTGCAAATAAACCACCAGAATCCAGAGGCCCTACGCAATATTCCAACAGCCACAGTTTTCTGTGAACTCGCTTCCTTGGCTTCATAGCCACTGACTCCCGGCTTCTAAGTGCTGCCATCAGAGTGGCCAGAATGTCATGAGAGCTGCAAACAGTAAGCAAGAGTACCATAATAGAGATATGCCAGATACGTTCCGAGGGCAATGAGGAATGAAACATATTTTAAGTTTAAAAGAACACACAACATTCAGCAGCTCAGACACTCCCTTGATTCATAGAAGTATAATAAAGGGGAAGACGTACAGCATAATCAGATTTTGTTGATATAGTTGATGTTGAATTGAATCAGAATAGAGCTGGAAGGTCTGCCTGTGGCTGCACCCCAATGCCTACACCTCCTCAGTTCTACAACTCTGAGGTCTTTACTGTCAAAGAATCATAGCTATAATAAGATAACTGTCAGCACTGAACTGAACCTTCTAGAGGCCCTTTTCCTGGTTCATCAATTCCACACTGTATGGTAGGGAGGAGGTTGGAATATATTGCTAGACACAACATTGAACTTTCTCGTGAGAACCAAGGTCATCTCTCAGGTGATGGAGGGAGATGGAGAAGATGCCTGAGGAGCCCCGCCAATTTATCTAACTGGCCAGCATGACCAGTGACACTGGGGGGGAAGGGGTGATTACTGATTTTAACTATGCTGAAACCACAGGAAAGATTCAGAGTTGGTTGTCAATCAAGTGTGCCGATACAATTTACCCAATAAAGTAGTTCTTTGAGGAACGGTCTGGCCTCAGACTCCTGATTTGCTTGGGTTTGTTAGTCGGAACCTTGACACTAACTTCAAAATAAAGAATAACCTAAAGAAAATAATAATAATCAGTTTCCCCCAACACTATTGATAGAATCCAAAGTGTGCCATCCAAATGATGTAACTGCTTTGAGAATTAACAGAATAACAAAGTTGGAAGGGACCTTGGAGGTCTTCTAGTCCAACCCCTGCTCAAACAGGAGACCCTGTACCATTCCAGACAAATGGTTGTCCAGTCTCTTCTTAAAAACCTCCAGTAATGAAGCACCTACAACTTCTGAATGCAATCTGTTCCACTGCTTAGTTGTCCACACTGTTAGAAAGTTTCTCCTTCATCCCAGGTTGCTTCTCTTCTTGATTAGTTTCCATCCATTGCTTCTTGTCTTGCCTTCTGGTTCTTTGGAAAATAAATTGACCCCCCTCTTCTTTGTCACAGACCCTCAAATACTGGAACACTGCTATCTTCTTTTCTCTACACTGGCCATACCCAATTCCTGCAACTGTTCTTCATATGTTTTTGTCTCCAGGCCCTTATTCATCTTAGTTGCTCTTCTTTGTACTTTTTCCAGTCTTAACATCTTTTTTGTAATGTGGTGACCAAAACTGGATGCAGTATTCCAGAGGTGATCTTACTAAGGATTTATAAAGCGGTACTGTCAAGATTGAAACATTTTGCCTCTTTCAAATCTTAATGCTTTTCAACTTGCCAATGAACTGGTGCTTGCGAAACAGATGGATTGTTCCCATAACAAAAGAAAGGGAAGCTAATGTTTAACTAAGCAAATATTTGCACGGCAAAACCAGAGCTGGTTTTGAGTCTTCAGTACCAAAATGGTATATCCAGTAAAGTTTTACTTTTGGGAATTTAAAACTCCAAAGTGTGTTTCCTTGTTTTGTGTCCACTAGTCAGACAGTTGACATTAAACCAGTTCTCCTTTAACCTAATGCAGCCTACTCGGATACTTTCGAGAGAGCTGTGACATAACAATGTCTGATAAGGAGGACCGGCCGCATCCCAGGAGGACACTGGGACACAGATAGTGGTGACCCAGTGAAAGGTGAAAGTGTTCTGTCCCCATACCACATACATACCCAACCAGCCAGCCAAGGGTTAAATAAACTCTTCAAACACTCAACATCAATGATAAGGAACTTGGCAGCAACTCCGTGGCTGCCTGCCAAGAACTTTTACTCTGATAACACAGACAAAAATACACACAGTTTGAATAGTCCAGTTTGTAATTAAATCCACAGCAAATAGGTGTTGTGTCCAAAGGTGCAAAGTGCATCGCCAGAGATTAGCTTTGTCCGTCACAGAGTCCGAATGGCCACCACACTCCCTTTTATAGCCTGTGGGGTGTGATCCAGTGACTCAGCTTAATCTCTGGCACGCCTCCTTTTCTGCTGCTCACGCTTGTCTCTCCGACGCTGGCGTGGGTCCAACCACAATGTTTCTTCGTCACTATCCGACGGCTCGGAAACACCTGGCTCCTGGCCAATCTCTTCCCCTTCGGGAGACACCTGAGGCATTGCTAGAGAGGAGGGTCCTGGAGAGGGAGGCCTGGCCGTCTCCTTCATGTTCGGAGCCTTCTTCCTCCAATAAGATAGGCTCAGAGGACGGAGCCACAACAGAAGGCGGAAAAGATGGAGCAGCTGCCACTGTGAAAGGAAGGAGCCATGGCAGGATTCATTCGCCCTGACCCAAAGACACAACGTCTGAGCAGAGTGAGGAAAGCAGCCACAACATCAACACAACATCAATCTCTTGGATTTATGTGCCATACGCCTGGCTCTTCACCATTTCCAGGACATTGTTGCAGGCCAGGATCTCCTTGTCCTCACAGACAACGTAACTGCAAAAGCTTACATAAACAATCCTCGGGGGAGGGGGGTTGGAACGCAATCTTGGATCTTAAGGCCCTCAACTGGTACATTATCTTCCGCCGGTTCAAAATGCAATCCCTCCACACAATTCTGGAAACGATCCAGAGGGGCGATCTCTCATCGGTAGACTTAACGGAGGCGTACCTCCATGTTCCCATCCTCCCTGCCCACTGCAAATACCTCCATTTCCATTATCTCGGGAGGGCATTATCAGTACACAGCCTTGCCTGCCCTCATTGGTCACATTTGTTATCTCATTAACTCATCTGTACAGCCATAGGACCGAGTCTGCTGATTTGGTTAGCCCTGCCCCCTCCTGGTAGGTGCCAGTGTTTCGGCGAGGATGCTGACGCAGACTGACGTGTCTTCCTGCAATGAAAGAATTAGTGCTGACCCACCCTGGTAGCCCAGGGCCAGAACCAGTTAGGGTGGGGCTGACTGCCGTTCCCCCCTCTCAGAGAAAGGACGTATCAGGTAAAACCAACGTCAATTCTCCATGTGGGAACGGCAGTCAGGCATGGGACATACCAAAGCTGCATGTCCTACAGGATGGGAAGAAACTGGCCCTGCGATCCCGAGCTGAGATGGATGGCCTGTAGCACTCGCCAGCCGAAAACTGCATCCACCGAGGCGAAGAAGTCCACTTTCTAATGGCGGATAAAGGGCATCTGGCTGGTCCATGTAGAATTCCCCTTGAACTCGCCTGAGGTTGCCGTGACTCAAGGGACCAAATGGAAGGCCAGAAGGACTGTGAACTGGGAAGAGCCAGTAGAGTGACTGCCTTCCTTCCGGCGGCAGCAAAGACAAGCTCAGGGGATTCTTGCAGTGGCAGGAGCTCAGGTTCAAGTGGTCCCACAGGTGGTGGGACTACTACTGGGCTACGTACTGATCTGGGATGATAGAGAACCCCCGCTTCTGAAAGTCTTGTTCAACAGGTGGCTGGAGAAGCTAAGGTCAGCGTTCCAGAAAAAAAACCCTCTCCAAGTAAAGACTCTGAAGCAAACATTTTCAAAGTTCTATTTACTAGAATAGGTAAACTGGCACATCTGGAAAAACCTGAATTTGAGAGGTCTGGGTTTTCTCTCAAAACCCCCCAAACCATCCCCTCAGTCCTCAATTGATCACATGCTCCAATCAACCGCTGTCCCATCTCAAGACATCACTCCGACCACTCCTTCTCCATATGCAGGATCACCCTGACCTTGACCGACAGGAAGAATGCAGACAACCTAGAGACAACCCCTCTACTAAGTCCCCCCTCCTACTTTACCACACATGAGAAGGTGGCAGCATGGAAGCTTCCGGCCTAATATGGCTTCCAAAGCTGACAGGCGTTCCCCCCCCCCCTGCAGAAAAAAACACACCCTGAAAAATAAAACAGACAAAACACAAAAGAAGGGGTTAACACCTTGTACAGGACCCCTTAACCCCCTCTCCCCCCTCCAGGTGGACCTTTTGGTTTCTCAGGGAATTTATCATGAAATTGCTTTACTAGAGTATCAGCATTCACATCCCAACTTTTCACCCAAGTAGCTTCAGACAACGGGTATCCTTTCCAGTGTACTAAATATTGTAACCAATCCTGGTATAGGCTAGAGTCAAGGATCTTCTTCACCTCATAATGAGTCTCCCTTTGTACTACCAAAGGAGGGGGGAGCAACTAGTAAGGGCCTTAAGTTAAATTCTCTTGCTGCTTTCAATAAGCTACTGTGAAAAACTGGGTACACTTTCCCTAATATGTGAGGGAGGCTAAGTTGGACAGACACTGGGTTAATCATTTTCACTATAGGGAAGGGATCTATGAATTTGGGTCCAAATTTCTTGCTAGGTAACCTCACTCTTAGGTATTTGGTTGACAAATGCACCTTATTTCCTATTCGGAAAGGTGGTTGGAGAGACCGGCATTTGTTGATTTGGGCCTTATATTTTTCCACTGATTCAGCTAAAGCTTTCTTAGTATTCTCCCAACCCTTTTTTAATGAGGTCATACATTCTATTAGCGACATGGAAGTAGGCGGCTCTCTAGGCAACTCAGGCATCAGCACAAAATCCATGCCCATAGTTATCTGAAAAGAAGTCAACCCAGTACTGCTGTGTACTGCATTATTATAAGCTACTTCCGCAAACAGTAATAAGTCCGCCCAGTTTTCTTGTTGATAATTTACATAACATCTAATGTATTGTTCCACCATTGAGTTCAATTTTGAACTCACCATGGGCCGATGAGGGGGAAGGAGGTTGCATTCCTCCTCGCTGAACGCTTCGGCTTAGGAATCTGGAGTTCGCCTGGAGGCCTGTCTGAACAAGCTGCTACTGTTTCTGGCAACTGGCCCTTATGGGTAGGCTGTTCCCTGGGGAGGAGGGGTAGGGGGTAGCGGGCCGACCTCCATTATGATTTTCCGGTATCTATCTTCCCATTGGGTGGGGACCCATTTGTCCAGCCAAGCCAGGCCCAGTACGACAGATTCTGACATCTTTGGAGTTACTATAAATCGTCTAAGTTCATCATTTCTAATCTAACCAGTTCTGTAATATGGGTGGCAGGGACCCCTCCAATTAACGTCCCATCCACCTGGTGAAATTTAATTGGGTGCTTTAAGGCTATTGTTTTGATCCCCAATTGTTCAACAATTGGAAGTCCAATTAAACATCTGGTGCAGCTGGTATCTATTATTGCTGGAAGTTCTCCTTGCTTCCCTGTCTCTGGCACCACCAGTTTCACATTAATTGAAAAGGGGGGAATGGCTGAATTCACCATCAGGTCTTCATCTCTGCTGGCCTCATTGGGAAGGGCTTCTTTGGCTGGAGGTTCCTCCCTCTCTTCAGTGGGGAGGGGAACCTCTACGGCTTGTCTGGTGAATCGACTGGTGTCTGGGGTCTTCCTTGGAGCCCTTCTGCCTCGTGCAGCTGTGGCAGGTCATTGCTGTGGAACTGGGGCAGGGGCCAGGCACTCAGAAGCTTGATGTCCCGATTGTCCACACCGATAGCATTTAATCACTTCTGATGGTTGAGGGGGAGGGATGACTTCAGCATACTTTGAAAGGGGTCGTCTAGCTAAAGCTCTCCGAGGAGGCTTCTCTGCTGGGGTTTTGCTGTGGGGGTGGATTTCTCTGTCTAGAGCTATGGACATGGTATACCAGTTGTGCAGTTGCTCAGGCACCTCCCGGACCTCACAAGCTGTTTTGACTTCTTGGTCAATGGCCTCTTTAAAATACTGTAGGAGTATGTGGTCTGGCCAATGCCCCTGGTTCCCTGCGACCTATCTAAAGTCCCATACAAAGTTTTTTATGGGTCAATTACCTTGCTTCATCACCTTTAGTGTGGCTTCATTTTCATTTATTCAATTTGGGTTTTCAAATCTGGCCCGGAGCAGTGCAATAAACCCATCGGCATCATTTAGGTCCACAGCACCCTCATTGTGCAGCTGGAGTATCCATTCAGAAACCTCCCCCTCATTCATCCCATCAGAAATCGCCGATACCAAGTCCCGGTCTGACTCGTATTGGTCTCCATACTGCTCATGAGCCCAGACCCTGCTGAGGAAGTAAGCTAGTTTGGCAGGCATACCATCAAAGGTTTCTCTGAAGCGGGGTGGCGTTGGCCTCATGAGTTGGGGCCCGGCAACGGGTGGCTGAGCTGGAACCTGTGGCGGAGCTGCTGCTGGTTGCTGGACTCTAGCTGGCTGCTGGGGGTGGGGGGCCGGCTGCTTATCTGCTTGCTGGGCTGTCGAGAGTGGGGGGGACTCCAGCCAGCTGCTGGATTAACCCCCCCTGTGGTGCCGGGATCATTGGGCCATATTGGGGCCATGGGGATCCCTGGAAACATGGAGCAGACGGCGCTGAATACCACTGGCACTCGACCCACCCCTGACTGGGATAAAATCCCCAGTCTGGGGGTATGCATTCAGCAGTGGGGAGCAGGAGGTAGCATAAAGGCAGGCTGACAAGGGGCCCCAAAAGGGGGGTTTTGCATTTCGCATGCTGGCTGTGTCTGATGTCTCCCAGCTGCAGGATGGCCATGGTTCTGAATTATTTCTTGGGGTTAAATTTAAGACAAAAGAAAAATCCTCTCCCCCAGTTCCACCACGGCTCACCTTCTTCTTTCCAGCATTAGTCTTAGCTGTCATTCTTCGGTTGTCCCAGCTTTGTAGTGGCCATCTTTAGGCTACTACTTTTTCTTGCCGTGGCTGAGAGAGAGAAAAGACCCCGGGCCAGACAGGAGAGCTGGGACTCTCCCCAACCTCACAGGGTGCCCCTCTTTGCTTCAATGCCCCTACAGGGCGGTTTAGGCTACCTCTGGAGCCCACAAACATGAAGAATTCAGCATAGGGAATGCGGAGCTCGTTCCTCTGTGTTTGTATCACCGTGACGTCAACCGGAAATCTCAGTACAAAATGTCTTATAGTACACTGCTCAAAAAAATAAAGGGAACACAAGCAGAAGACATCTGAGATCTGAATGAATGAAATAGCCTTATTAAATGCTTTGTTCAGAACATACAGTAGTTTTGTGTTCCCTTTAGTTGTTTGAGCAGTGTATAAACTACTGTATGTAAAGAACAAAGTATTTAATAAGGCTATTTCATTCATTCAGATCTCGGATGTCTTCTGCTTGTGTTCCCTTTATTTTTTTGAGCAGTATATATTAAGTTTCAATTGTGCATTAAATAGATTAGCTATATGATGTTTCTGACAATGCTGTTCAAGATATATTAATTATCTGCTGGTATAAACATTGTTTATAATATATTATTATAAGCCTATAAACATATAGTTTTTTAAACATTAAAAACATTAAGCATTAAAAGTTTATCTCTGCCTACCCCTGCACACTAGGAAACAGGTTTGGGTTGGATAGCTAAAATCTTTTAAACAGAAAACAAATTCAAAATGATATTGACTCTCAGAGAAATAGGCTCTCCCCTTTGCTGCCATTTGCAAAATTAATGGGCATTCTCATCATTCTGAGACTGGACTGTGGTTCCTACCTCATTTGATATCTTTGCAAGTCAATGATGAACTATCTCTATACTCTGAAACAAACATTTGGGTATCCTTGGGAGCTATGAAAGCCAAGGACAGATTGCTGGGTGTTTTATGCAAAGGGTGAAGAGTCTTTCTGATTTTTCCATCTTCTAGAATTATATTGACTCAGGAAAGGAGCAAATATTGAAGGTCTATTACTTACCAGGAGTTCCAGAGGTCTTTCAGAGAACCTTCCAAATTCAGGTGGCTCACCTGGAACCAGATAGTATCACTCTGAAAGGACAGGGAATTTTCCCTAGAATTTGCTTGGATCTGCCCAGAAATATTCGCGGTAAGAGTACTTTGTCTTCCCATGAAACTAATATAGTTGAAAAATATAAGTTAATTCTTCACAAATATTCACCAGCAGTGTGCATGAAACATTATTTTTTGTTTTGGGTTTCAAACAACAATCTTTTAATTGATAATTCTATCTAAACAGAACTCAAAGTCCTTGTGGTCTTGGTTTTCATACTAGGATGCCCAAATATCTTTTTTATATGAGAATCAAAGATATTGGCTAAAAGGCAGTGGTGAAATACACCCGGTTCTATCCAGCTTGGGCAAACCGGTAGCACCGGTGGCAGGAGGCTCCACCCACCTGCCCGACATCATCACATTCTGTTTTTTACGCTCTGTGCATGCGCAGAAGGTCCTGCGCATGCGCAGAAGTGTCACACCCATTTGCGAACTGGTAGTGAAGGTAAGTGGATTTCACCCCTGCTAAAAGGGTAATTTTAAATATTGCTTTCCCTTCCTGAGAATATTTCATTTTTTTTATTAAAATCATGCTCTTGTCCAATGTGCGTGCAGGTGCATGAAAAATATCAGCTAGCCATTTTTGCCTCAACCACATATAAACAACAGGTCAAAATTTGATACGCATGAGCTCATTCAAAAGCAATGACTTTCAGTGATGGACTTGTTTGTTAAAAGGAGTCTTGCTAGTTAATTCTTCTGTGCATGACAATATTTCTACTATAACAGCAAAGAAAAATGCATTTGCACTTGTCAGACTTAAAAATCAGTGTCCTGTATTTAAATAGACAAGCTCAATATCAAAACACAAGAGTATAAATAGAAACCTTCCAACCAAACTAACATGGCAGTCTTTTAATTTTGAATGAAAATGTTATTTCACTTTAAAATATTTTTATTATTTAGATAGTCCGGCTTTCAGTACATGATTTTCAATCATGATTTCATCAATACATGATTTTAAGGCAACTTCCAAGAATTAAAAATGCAAAATATAGAATATAAACATTGGTGTGGTTAAAATTAAGAGTGAAAATTTACATCAGCATCCATCAATAATTAACCATCATAAATAAATAAATAAATAAATAAATTAAAATAAAATAAAAGCATGGGAGCTCAATATCCTCAGGATACAAATGGAAAGCAGCAAAGGAGCTAAATTAGACCATTGATATTGTTAAATGCACCCTAAAATGTGGAGTCCAGAACATGGAAGCCATTGAAAAGAGCACGGTCTCCTGATTTATTTTCTTTTTTACCTCTCCATATTATCTCAATGGGATTGTGATCTGCCCATGTGTTTGGGGAGATCTCAATTTTTTCTATTTCTAAACTAGTTGCTTATTCATCCTGTCCATTTCTAACTGGATTACTGAGTCTTCAAGGTCTTTATTTAATGCCATCATTTTCTGATCTACCAGATCCAATTTTTTTTTCGGTTTGTTCAGTTTTGGCTTCTACTATTTTTATTTTTTGTTCGTTCTTCTGAATTGCTTCCTGGATTGAGTTCATTTTATTATCTAGTTTTTGAATATCAAATTTCATTTCTCCATGATTATTGGACATAGTTTCTTGCATCTTTACCATTGTTTCCTGAATCAATGTCTGGGTGGTTTGCATTGTTTGCATACTTGGGACCATGTTAGCCTTTTCCATCTTTGATAACCCTTCTCTCGACCGTTGGTTTGAAGGGAAAGCCATCGTTATCGTTATCATTAGAAGATGGATGTTAAACCCCCAAATCTTAAAGGAAAAGGAATATATTGAAAAGATAAAGAAGGAATTGACATTATTTTTTAAAGAAAATAAAAAACACCACACTTCTTTAATAAATTTATGGGATACTATGAAAGCCTATATAAGGGGAACAACAATAGCTTACAATGCAAAGAAAAATAAGGAAAAATGGAAGCAGTATAACATTCTATCAGAAGAAATTAGAAATTTGGAGAAGCGACTCCAAACAAAACCAGGAGATGAATTTGTTAAAGAAACTTTGACCCTTGCAAGACATAAATTAAGTATATTAGAGCAAGAGGGGATAGCAAGAAGTTTAAAATATTCTAAACAATTTTATTTTGAACACGCTAACAAAACCGGAAGGTGGCTAGTTTATAAATTGAAAAAAAGAGAAAGAATGGATTATCCAGCAATTAGAGGACGAGATGGGGATTACACAAAACAACAAAGAAGAAAAAAAGAAAATAGTACAAGATTACTATGCGGATTTTTATAAACAAGAGGAAATACCAAAGGATAAAATTGATAATTATTTACTGAAAGAAGGGATTATACCACTAGAGGAGGAAAAAAGGGAATTGTTAAATAAATGAATAACACCAGAAGAACTGAGAGGGGCAATCCTAAAATTTAAGAATAACAAGACACCAGGACCTGATGGCTTCCCAGGGGAAATCTATAAAAATTGAGTGAAATTATAGAACCAGTGTTATTGGAACTTTGTAACGAAGCATCATATGAAGTGAAAATTCCAGAATCGTGGAGAGAGGCATACATCACCTTAATTCCAAAAGAAGGTACTGATAAGAGTTAAACTAGAAATTATAGACCAATATCCCTTTTAAATGCAGATTACAAAATATTCATGAACATAATAGCAGAAAGACTGAAAAAAGTATTGAATAAGACTATACACCAGGATCAAAATGGCTTCCTTCCCAATAGACAAATAAGAAATAATACGAGAATAATAGTAGACACACTGGAATATTATGAAGCTCATCCAGAGAAAGAAGTAGCCCTTGTTTTTCTGGATGCCCAAAGGGCTTTTGACAATCTAAACTGGCAATTCATGATTAGGCAAATGAAATTGGGAATCAAATCTGAGAAAATGATAGAGGCAATTTATAAGACGCAAAAGGCAAGGGTAATAGTAAATGGGGATATTACCAACACGTTTCAGATAACTAAGGGTGTATGACAAGGGTGCCCATTGTCACCATTGCTCTTTATTTTAACATTAGAAATATTACTAAATAGAATCAGAGCAAATCAAGAAATAAAGGGAATGAAAATCAAAAGAGAAGAGTACAAGGCATAGACCTTTGCAGACGATATGGTATTTATCATTGAGGAACCTCTGGAATCTGGCCCTATTCTAATATGAGAAATAGAAAAATATGGGGAAGTATCAGGACTTAAAATTAATAAAGGGAAAACCAAAATGATAGTTAAAAATTTAACAACAATTCAGAAAAAAGAATTAGAAAAAGAAATGGATTTACAAATTGTTAAAAAAATTAAATATCTAGAGATATGGTTAAAGGCGAGGTGTTCGTCCCTAAAGGAGGATAACTATACGGTTTTGGTCCAACAAATGAAGAAGGATTTGGAAAAGTCGGGAACGTTACAAATATCGCTTTTAGGTAGGATAGTGACGATCAAGATGAATATTCTACCTAAACTATTATATTTATTTCAGTGCGAGCTGCACTGGCTCCCGGTGGTCTTCCGGGTGCGATTCAAGGTGTTAGTTATCACCTTTAAAGCGCTCCATGGCTTAGGACCTGGGTACCTACGAGACCGTCTTTTGCCACCAATAGCCTCCCACCGACCAGTTTGTTCTCACAGGGAGGGACTACTCAGGGTACCGTCAGCCAAATTATGTCGACTGGCGACTCCCAGGGGGAGGGCCTTCTCTGTGGGGGCTCCAACCCTTTGGAATGAACTGCCCCTGGAGATACGGAATATCCCTGATCTCCGTGCTTTCCGCCGTGCCCTCAAGACCCTGATGTTCCAACAGGCAGGGCTAAACATACAAACATGCGAATGATTTTTTAAATGTTATCTAATTCTGAGTTTTATTTAATTGACCAAACTAAATGGCAATTTTAATTAGCAATTTTGTGGTGTTTGTGTGTCTATGTTTTTCTTGACTGTACACCGCCTTGAGTCCTACGGGAGAAAGGCGGTATAGAAATATAATAAATAAATAAATAAATAAAATAAACAATCCCCATACCATTAGACAGAAAATTTTTCAGTCAATTTAATAAAATTACTACTAAATTTGTCTGGTCAGGAAAAAAGGCAAGGATAAAATTATACTCTCTCCAAGATAGTAGAAGTAGGGGTGGTTTTGGACTCCCGGCGTGGAAACTATACCACAAAGCAGTTATGTTAGTTTGGATAAGGGATTGGGTTAACTTAAAGAACAGAAGAATATTAACGCTGGAAGGACACGATCTACAAAAGGGGTGGCATGCTTTTATGTGGGATAAAGGGAATAGGATACACTCATATTTCTACAGACATAAAATAAGAGATGCATTGCTACGAATTTGGGAAGATACAAAGAAGAAACATTATATGAAAATTCCGGGTTGGCTATCTACTATGGAAGCTATGATCCACCCCAACACATTAGATACCAGCAAAATGCCTAGATACTCAGAAATCTTAGATAAACAGGGAAAGCTTAAAAATAATCAGCTATTAAAAGAACAGGGAATACTCATTGATTGGTGGCCATACTTACAACTGCAATCCAGATACAAGAAAGATGTGGAAGAATTCAAGGTTGACTCAGCTTTCCATCCTTTCGAGGTAGGTAAAATGAGGACCCGGTTTGTGGGGGTAATAAGCTGACTTTGTATAAAAAAGAACACCGCTTGGGGAGGGCGAAAGCCCTACTAAACAGGTATATACAAAAGTATGAAGGCTATTGCTTAACGCATTGAAAGCCGCCCTGAGTCTCCAGAAAAGGGCAGCATATAAATCAAACCAATAAATAAACAATAAATAAATATGGAATTGACATGAAACCAAAACAACTAGATAAATTGCTGATTGGCCTTGAAAGAAAATATCCAAATTATACAATTATTTATTAGAATTTGATAGAGCAGAGGTGGTGGTGAAAGAACTGATGATTGCATGGGCTAAAAATATAGGGCATAGTATAGACTTAGATGATTGGGAAACAATCTGGAACAAAAACTACACGTTAACAAAATCGGTTGCCTATAAGGAAAATCAGTATAAAATGCTCTACCATTGGCACTTAGCTCCAGCAAGGCTGGCTAAAATGTACCCAAACCTAAGCTCCAAGTGCTGGAAATGCAACCAGCACCAAAGTACCTTCTTTCATGCCTGGTGGCTGTGCCCCAAAGCGAAGAAGTATTGGACCAAGATACAAGGTTGGCCACAAGACTTAATAAATTGTCAAATTGAGCTAAATCTGGAAACATTTCTCTTGGGAATATTAAAAACTAAATTTGATAAAAAAAAATAAGATATCTGATCCTACATATACTAACAGCAGCAAGAATTGCATTTGCGCAATATTGGAAGGAACATAACTTACCACCAGAGGGATTGATTATTCAGAAAGTATTTGAATGTGCTGAAATGAATAAACTAACTTTAGAATTAAAAGAAAAAGGATTTAGAATATTATGCGGTTTGGGGAAAATGGTATATGTGGATAGACAACAGAAACAAAAATAGGTAATATTCATAAGGAAGTTGAGGATGTATATATATGTACATAATGTATATATTACATGAACTGTTAATCCAAAGTATATAAAAATGACACTGTTTGATTATGTATTAGAATTATGGAAAAGAAAAACTACAATAAAAATTATTAAAAGAAAAGAAAAGAGCACGGTCTCTTTCAAGAGCATTTCTCAGTTCAGAATGTCTGGCCTTCCTGCTTTACATAGGAAATGAGCGGTACAGCAGCATCCTCAAAGAAGTGAAGCAGCAACTAGAACAAGAAACGCAGAAAGATTTCAGCAGTAATTCTGAAGCATTGGCCACTGAACCACCAATGGAAGAATCTTTCACCACGGTAAGATGAACAGCTCTCCCATCTGACTGTCAGCTGGCCTGGGTGGAGGCACTAAAGTGGAATTGAGCCCTGAGGAACAACCACACTCCTGCATGACACAATCATCTCAGGGAGTGGAACAGGGTGCTATTCAGCAGGTTCTGACAGGTTCTGGAGAACCAGTAGCGGAAATTTTGAGTAGTTCGAAGAACCGGCAAATACCACCTCTGGCTGACCCCAGAGTGGGGTGGGAATGGAGATTTTGCAGTATCCTTCCCCTGGAATGGGGTGGGAATGGAGATTTTGCGGTATCCTTCCCCTGCAACGCCCACCAAGTCACACCACGCCCACCAAGCCACCCCCACAGAACCGGTAGTAAAAAAAATTGAATTCCACCACTGGAGTGGAAACAAAGGCCAATGCTTTTTTCGGGGGTGGGGGCTACATCCTGATCTGGATGAGGTCAGGATGCAAGAGTAGAAGTCCAATACTGCCATGGACATGTTAGAGTTGTTGACTCTTCCTGATGTCTTTAGCTCGACACACAACTACAGATGGAATTGGAAAGGCTGCTTGTTCAAGAGCACTCTCTGGAGCAGCAGAAGCTGCTGGCCTCTGTTTCAGCGGATGACCCTGCTGCCTGTCAGCGAGCTCGCCGGAAACTGGTCAAGTTAGTACATATAGTTTCTTTCTGGTCCAAGAGAATGGGCTTCCAGGAGTTTTTCCAGGAATCATCAACGAAATGAACGCTCCAAAATCAAACCTGTTCACCTGGTCTTTAAGACCTCTCTTTAGCAGAGAAGTCTCTCTTTATGAAAAGAAAACTACAGCTAGCCTCTCAGGCTAGACAGGCTAGCTGTAGTTTTCTTTTCATAAGCATTCACTGCTGAGTGAATGCTTATGAAAGGATTTCTGTACAAGGGAAGGGGTCGAATGATGAATAGTTAAGGTACTATGGCTGCCATCCCCCAAGCCAAGCTTTGCAAAGCTGACAGCAACCACGGGAAGAGAAGATGATTGGAAAGCAGGGAGGAGATGGGGGCAGGGGGGAGGGATAAGCATTGATAATTGAACACCTGCTAGCCAAGGTTACCCAACAGACTGCAAAGCAGAAAAGCCTGCGAAACCAAAGGCCCTTTACCAAACAATATACCAGCATTTAACTGGACATTTGCTGATAATGGCGGGGGGGGAGGAGGAGGGGGGAATGGCCACGGAAAAGCGAATGTTAATTGTATTCGCTTAACACCAGATTAAGCTCAATCAAGTATACTCTTGACAAAACAATGGCCCAGGAGTCTTTGCTGAGTGAATGAATGGGATGGTGGACACTAGGTATCTCTAGCCTAACAAGAAGGATTTGGGGTGACAGGATAGCTGTCTTCAAGTACCTGAGGGACTGTCACAGAGAAGAGAGGGGTCAACGTATTCCAGAAAGCATCCAAGGGCAGGACAAGGAGCAAGAAGCTCTTTAGCAGGAGATCCAATCTCAAACTAGGAAGAAATTTCTTGACAGAAGATTTAATCAATGGAACAGCTCACCTCCATGATTTGTGGGTGCTCCATCGCTGGAGGTTTTCAAGAAAAGATTGGACAACCATTTGTCTGTGATGGTATAAGGACTCCTGCCATGGGCAAGGTGTTGGACTAGAAGACCTCCAAGGTCTCTTCCAGCCCTCTGATTCTATGGTTTGCCACTTAACTCCCTTTCTCTCCCTCATAAGCACAGCCTGGTCATGCTAATCTTTAGTGTAGTTGAAATAAATGAACTTGTGAAATTTGAGATTTTCTGGAAAATATCACTCATCCTGTTTATGTTAACATTATTATTATTTATTATTATTCGTATTTCTATGCCGCCCAACTCTCCGAGGACTCTGGGCGGCTTACAACAAAGACAGTATAAACAATATACAATAAGAGACGTTAAAAAAACCCATATACACCGCTCATGCAAGATCGCAGTGGCGAGATCAACGGCCCCAAGCCTGCCGGAAAAACCAGGTTTTCTCCATTTTCCGGAAGGCCGGTAGGGTGTCTCAGGAGGTTGCTGATTCCAGAAAGCTGGGGTCTCAGGAGGTAGCTGATTCCAGAAGGCTGGGGCAGCCACAGAGAAGGCTGCTTGATTTGTACCATGGGTAGAAGGGGTATGGGAGTGCGCAATCACTATCTTTGAGCGATTGCGCACTCCGGTCCCCAATGCTTCTCTCGTTCCCCAGGTAGCACAGATCCTCAGGGCCTGGGCCATCGGCTGATGTTGTGCAACGCCAGGTCCGTGATAAATAAGGCCCCCTTCATTTACGACCTTATTCAGGAGGGGGGAGCGGACGCAGCGGGTATTACGGAGACCTGGTTGGGTCTGGAAGGGGGGGTGCCCCTTGTTGAAATGTGCTCACCAGGTTTCCGGGCATTCTATCAGCCAAGGGCCCAGGGTAGGGGCGGGGGGGTGGCGGTTATTATTAAAGAAAGTCTATGTCCAAGGGAGGCCACTGTACCTCAGATAGCCGGATGTGAGTCCCTCCTTGTGAAGTGGGGTCGTGGGGTGCAGATGGGCCTGCTTGGCTCCCTGCTGCATAGCAGCGGCCCTGCCCGAGCTCCCTGACATGATAGCCGGGGTGGCGGTTGATAGCCCCAGGCTTATAGATATGGGGGATTTCAACCTGCCATCTGTTGGTGAAATGTCTATGGCGGCTTTGGGAGTTCATGGCTTCCATGACGGCCTTGGACCTGACCCAGTTAGTTCAAGGCCCTACTCACATGGGAGGGGGGACAGACTCTGGATTTGATTTTTGTCTCTGGTCAGTGGCAGAGCGATCTGGAAATAGGGGATTTAGTCATCAAACCCTTGTCATGGTCTGATCACTCTCTCCTTCGCATGGACTTCCGCACCGCTACTCCTTGCCACATGGAGACGGAACCGACTAGATGGTTCCGTCCCAGGCGCCTGATGGACCCTGATAGGTTCCTGACAGAGCATGGGCCATTCCCTGAGGCTTTGGCTCATGGCGTGACTGAAGAACTGGCGGCTGCCTGGGATAGGGTGGCTGCTGGAGCTCTGGACCGTGTCGTGCCTTTGCGGCCTCTGACCCGGTGCCGATCTCAATTGGCTCCCTGGTTCTCCGAGGAGCTGAGAGAGATGAAGCGCCGGAAAAGATGCCTGGAGAGTGACTGGAGGGCCAGCCGCTCCGAATCTGACCGAACACTGGTGCGGTCACATATTAAGATCTACCTGGTGGCGATAAAAGTGGCAAAATCTAATTATTTTTCCACTCTTATTGGGTCTGCAGAGAACCGCCCAGCAGCCCTGTTTAGGGTGACCCGCTCCCTCCTTCATCTGGGAGCAAGGGAAGACCCCTTGCAGGGCAGGGCTGAGGATTTTGTGCAATTCCTGCATGACAAAGTCACTCAGATTCGGGAAGGCCTGGCCTCTGATTGGGTAGATTCGGATGGGGTGACGGAGGTGGGTCTTGAGAATGTTATCTGGGAGGGGTTTGACCTTGTGACTCCTGAGGACGTGGACAGGATTCTGGGTAGGCTTAGCACTGCCACATGTTTATTGGACCCGTGTCCCTCCTGGTTGGTGCTGGCCTCCCGGGCGGTTACACGAGCTGGCTCCAGGGGATTATTAATGCTTCTTTGAATGAGGGTTTCTTCCCTCCCTCTCTGAAAGAGGCGGTGGTGAAGCCCCTCCTCAAGAAGCCTTCCCTGGACCCGACTGTATTAGCAAACTATCATCCAGTCTCCAACCTTCGCTTTGTTGCGAAGGTTGTCGAGAGTGTGGTGACGCGACAACTTCCCCAGTACCTGGATGAAGCTGACTATCTAGATCTGTTCCAGTTGGGCTTCAGGCCAGGGTACAGCACGGAAATGGCATTGGTCGCATTGGTTGATGATCTCTGGAGGGCTCGGGACAGGGGTTGTTCCTCTGTCCTGGTCCTATTAGACCTCTCAGCGGCTTTTGATACCATCGACCATGGTATCATGCTGCGACGATTGGAGGGGTTGGGAGTGGGGGGCACCGTGTTGTGGTGGTTCTCCTCCTTCCTCTTCAACCGTACGCAGTTTGTGTTGGCAGGGGGACAGAGGTCGACCTCGAGGCTTTGTGGGGTGCCGCAAGGGTCAGTCCTCTCGCCCCTTCTGTTCAACATTTATGTGAACCCACTGGGCGAGATCATCCATGGTTTTGGGGTGAAGTTCCACCAGTACGCTGACGACACTCAGCTGTACATCTCTACCCTGGACCATCCCAATGATGCCCTTGACGTGATGTCCCGGTGCCTGGAGGCCGTGCGGATCTGGATGGGGAGGAACAGGCTTAGACTCAATCCTTCCAAGACCGAGTGGCTGTGGTTCCCGGCGTTCCAGTGTAGTCAGCTGGTTCCATAGTCAGACTATTGGGGGCGAGATCTTGGCCCCCTCAGAGAGGGCTCTCAACTTGGGTGTTCTCCTGGATGCATGGCTGTCTTTGGAAGATCATATGTCGGCATGGCCAGGGGAGCTTTTTATCAGGCTTGCCTGATACACCAGTTCTGAACCGGGATGCCCTGCGCATGGTCACTCATGCCCTCGTCACGTCCCATCTGGACTACTGTAACACTCTCTACATGGGGCTCTCCTTGAAGAGCACTCGGAGGCTCCAACTGATCCAGAATGAGGCCGCGCAGGTGATTATGGGGGCGACCCGGCGCACCCATGTAACACCTCTCCTGCACGAGCTGCACTGGCTCCCGGTGGTCTTCCGGGTGCGATTCAAGGTGTTGGTCACCACCTTTAAAGCGCTCCATGGCTTAGGACCGGGGTATATACGAGACCGCCTTCTGCCACCGACAGCCTCCCACCAGCCAATATGCTCCCACAGAGAGGGGCTCCTCAGGGTGCCATCGGCCAAACAATGCTGACTGGTGACATCCAGGGGGAGAGCCTTCTGTGTGGGGGCATCAGCCCTCTGGAATGAGCTGCCCCTAGAGGTTCGTATGATCCCCGACCTACGTACCTTTCGCCGTGCCCTGAAGACCCTTTTGTTCCAACAAGCCGGACTGGCCTAATATGAATTTTATAATGGGTGTATGTTAGTTTTTTAATTTTGTGGGCCAAATTTTTATATATTCGGTTTTAAATTGTTTTTAAATTTTGTAAATCTATATGTGTTTTAATATGGCTGTACACCGCCCTGAGTCCTTCAGGAGAAGGGCGGTATAGAAGTCCAATAAATCTAATCTAATCTAATCTAATCCTCCCCCGCGGACCCGCCAGCCGACATTGTTTAGCTGACGGGACCCGGAGGAGGCCAACATCATCCACATTATGCTTTTTTTTAGAGCCCAGCTACCTGAGTATGTCTTAGATTTTGGCTACATAATCATGGGCACCATCAGAACTCACATCATCAAGATCACAAACACAGGCCACTTCCCTGTCTCCTTCCATGCAGATCGACGGGACCTACGGGACACAGGTACAAGAAGGGCATCATTCCATTTTTTTTCTAGTCTATGTTGAAACAGTAAACAATGGTTTAAGGCTCAAACAATTAAAATGGAACAAAATACATTGAAACTTCCCATATTTACTGGACAAGCGTAGTTTTTTAATATGTTCAAAACATTGTAGCTTTGTCCATTGCTGGTCTTCTCCTATGAGGGAGGGAGGGATCTCTCAGGACCTCTTCCTAGCTTTGCTCACTTTTATCGGTGTTTGCAACATGAGTCAACTGACCAAAAATAATGCCAGGTCTAACTTGCTGCTTAGCACCAATAAAAATAAAATACACAAATGGTAAGCCCTGGTTCAGTCTGTTCAATATACACATGCGTACATACATATATATGTAGATGTGCACACCCAGACAGTCACTATTGCTTACAATTCCTAATGACTATGTTCACATGTCACATTAAGCCACAGTCAAGCAAAAGCTCTGTGCAGTGCTCAGCATGTAGGACTTGGCTATCTGTTTCTCACCATCTACCCTTCTGCAGTTGTTAGTGGGGAACCAGCACCTCTGTACCGTAGGAATGCCTTGGAGATGTAATATATATGGAGTTCAACTGTGGTTTGTTCTCTTAAGTAGTGAGAGCTGTTTCTATTGCTGTTATCCTGAGTCAGGTTTCAACACTGAACTGGATCGAGTGAAGAATCTACCTTTCTGCGAGACAGAGACGTTCGAAATATGGTTTGATCCCCAGAGTGTCGGCTGTGCCCTTGGAGAGACAGAAGTGCTGTTGCCCATCAAGGTGCTTCGAAGTTTATTTATTGATTGATTGATTGATTGATTGATTGATTGGTTCAATTTATATGCCGCCCTTCTCCGGAGACTCAGGGCGGCTTACAATGCGTTAAGCAATAGCCTTCATACTTTTGTATATACCTGCTTAGTAGGGCTTTCACCCTCCCCTAAGCAGTGTTCTTTTTTTATACAAAGTCAGCTTATTGCCCCCACAAACCGGGTCCTCATTTTACCTACCTCGAAAGGATGGAAGGCTGAGTCAACCTTGAACCTGGTGAGATTTGAACTTGCAGTAATTGCAGGCAGCTGGTGTTACTTAACAGCACTTTAGTCTGCTGCGCCACCAAGTTTCTTTTAAACACACACACGCCCGCAGAGGCACACACAAGCACGCACACACACACACATACAGAGTTGTTCACCTGAACCGGTGCGAACCAGTAGCATTTCACCCCTGGTCTGGCCTTCGTGTTGTGGGAGGCAATGCCAGAGAACTGCACAGTTACTGTTTATACTTCAATCATCTACTTTGTAGGGTTTTTGATAGTGCAATTGTAATTTGCAGGATCAGGACACCCCTTGGCATGAGTTAGTGTTGCCCATAAAAGGAAAAGATAGGGGATGTGATGTGAGAGCTGGACAAGTAGAGTTGAAGAATTTAGTTAGCCCGCCTGTAGAACCAACAGCTTATCCTGTTAGCTAGCTAAACTCTTCATTGGATAAGAGCAGAATGACTGTGCCTTTAATAGCTGAATTGGCTTGGATATGTGAACCAGGCCACCCCTGCTTGGTGGGAAAGAACCTAAAGCTGCCCTGGAGTCTCACCTGCTTACAAGAAGATGGAGTGGAGCAGTGGTTGAGATGACTCCCCAGGACTGTGATCGCCTGTAAGCAATGGGGGCTGTCCTTCGGAGCCTAAAGTGCCTGGATTGTTCTCATTTCCTTTTTCCAGTTGTACTCTCTAATCAGGACCAGAGGGCCCAGGGAAGGTGGTGTCCATGTATCTCTTGGGGCATTTGACCTATGCAGAATTTCTGAGGGTGGGGGTTGGTGGGACTGGGAGAGAATGGAAGTCATATTAAACTGCTTTTAAATTTTATATGTTATGTTTTATCTTGGCTGTTCACCGCCCTGAGTCCTGTTGGAGAAGGGGGGTATACAAATTAAATTAAATAAATAAATAAATAAAATAAATATACCATGCATTATGCTCAGGAAGGTTTGATACGATTCACTGCAGGTTGTGGCTGGTCCCACGTTCCACATCTCTCTTCGGGCCACGGTGATCATGCCATCTCTCTGCATGTCCAGTGACAATCTGGAGTTCTCTGCTGTCCAGTGTGGACAGTGCCAGGTGGAGACCATCCAACTTCACAATCAGCTGCAGGTCGTATGCGAGTGGTTTGCCACAAGCAATGAACAAATGAAAAAGGTAACACAACACTGAAATAGATCTTGCTTTGCTCTTCTCTGATTGCATCTTGAAAAGCAGCTTGATCTGTAGGAATTTGGTGTGGAATGGAAGTTAAGCTGCTTGAAAGGTGTGCAGTTTTGGTTCTTGGGCTGAGCCCTTTTGATCTGTGTAACATTCAGGAAAATGTTTAGAAGTGAAAAACAAAATTCTTGTTTTCATATAAATTTAATAAGATAAATTGCAAAAGATTTGCCACAGAGACTTGATTACACAACTCTTGATTCTGTTTTGTCCCATGCAAATCCTTCAAAATGCAAAATAAAACCCCACACAGCCTAATGACCCTATCCTCGATAAATTTTTAATCACATACTATGTATCAGGAATATGTCTGTGCAGTGAAAAAGACGGTGTTGAATTATTGTTTCTCTTGAAACCTCTATTAGCCTCACCTGCCTGCAAAAGAAAAACCTTTCATCCTTATTCATATGGATGGGAAACCCACCCTACTTCGAAGGACACTTTAAAGGTGTTTCTAGAAACTCAGTCAAAAGTTTGGTGTGGGCTGAGGCAATAATTCTCGTCTCCAGGGTGTGCTGTCCTTCACAAGGATTCTTCAGAATGGCATAAAGAGGCAAACTCTGCTCATGACTTCATTGTTTGTTGTAAGTTCAGGTGGATAAGCACATGCCGATGACCTTGCGCCGGAAAATGCGTGAACACAAGGTGAAGCCCCATGTCTTTGAGATGATTCCCCCGTATGGGATCCTGGCTCCCGGAGAGCGGCTCAACGTGCAGGTCAAGTTTGCCCCAAGAGAAGAGGTACGAAATGAGAAAGCTGTTTGGAGCACAACAAGTATCTGAAGCATTTTCAGAAAGAGCAGAGTTGCATTGATGGCAAAGAAAGGCAGGGCTTCATTGAACAATTCAATTCCTCATGCAAAGTAGATCTGTTTATTTTTTTATAATTTTATTTATAGTTTTTTTTTAACATCCATAGGTGCTTTGTGGACAAAGTATTGTCTGGGTTGATATATTTTATTATTATTATTATTATTATTATTATTATTATTATTATTATTATTAGATATACATAATCATAATCTTTCAACTTCTAACATTTGTATATATATAGTAGTTATGATGTATTATAGCTACTTATATGTATCTAGATCAGTAAACAATACTATTTTCTAACTTCTACCTCTTTTTTCTAACTCTTAATAGAATAGCCCCCTATTAAGAAGTATTCTATATCTAAAATGGGGAGGAACAGGCTCAGGCTCAACCCATCCAAGACTGAGTGGCTGTGGTTCCCGACGTCCCGATATAGTCAGCTGGCGCCATCGCTGACTATTTGGGGCGAATCATTGGCCCCCACGGAAAGGGCTCGCAACTTGGGCGTCCTCCTGGATTCATGGCTGTCTCTAGAAGAGCACTTGACGGCCGTGACCGGGAGGATTTTTCATCAGGTTCGCCTGATTCGCCAGTTGCGTCCCTTTCTAGATCGGGACTCTCTACACACGGTCACTCATGCCCTCGTCACCTCTCGTCTGGACTATTGTAACGCTCTCTACATGGGGCTCCCCTTGAGGTGCACTCGGAGGCTCCAACTGGCGCAGAGTGCGGCCGCGCGGGTGGTTATGGGAGCAACGTGGAGCTCCCATGTAACACCTCTCCTGCGCGAGCTGCACTGGCTCCCGGTGGTCTTCCGAGTGCGCTTCAAGGTTTTGGTTACCACCTTTAAAGCGCTCCATGGCTTAGGACCTGGTTATCTACGGGACCACCTGCTACCACCAATAGCCTCCCACCGGCCAGTACGCTCCCATAGAGAGGGGCTCCTCTGGGTGCCGTCGGCCAAACAATGTCGACTGGCGGCCCCTAGGGGGAGAGCCTTCTCTGTGGGGGCACCTACGATCTGGAACGAGCTCCCCCCGGAGATACGGAGGATCCCGGATCTGCGCACCTTCCGCCGCGCGCTTAAAACGTTTTTATTTCATCAAGCTGGCCTGGCCTAAATCTTCTCCCTTTTAAAATTTTAAAATTTAAATTTTAAACACTAATTTTAATTTGTTTAATTATGGGACATTTTTAAAATTGAGCCAAATTGTTTAATCTGTTTTAATCTATTTTAAATTTTGTATTCCTGTGTTTTATCTTTTGGCTGTTCACCGCCTGAGTCCTTCGGGAGAAGGGCGGTATAGAAATCTAATAAAATAAATAAATAAATAAAAATAAATAAAAATAAATAAAAGTTAGAACTTTTAGAAGTATAAGAGAAAGATTAATTTTATCATTACGGTTGATTAATTTAATTTATTTATTCTAATTAGTATTAATAAATTAATATGTATTAATATTATGAAGGAAAAGCACTTACTATAAGATTACTGCTAGAGAATATTATCACTATTATAATGTGGAGTATTGTTCAAAGCAATTGTACCCAGACAAAACACTGTTTACATGGATATTGAATATGTTGCTCTTTTTATTTATAATAAAATGATAACAATAACAGTAGCAGCAGCAGCAGCAACAACAACAACAACTATAATAATAATGAAGTATTCTATATCTATCGATCATCTCTTGCCATTTTTAGAATTTCAATTCTTATTGACTTTTTGGTAAATCTTTCATACTTCTCCCTTGGGACCTTGTAGCTCCTTATATTACATTTATTTAATTTTAGTATTTCATCTGCCACAACATCTAGACACCTAGTCACAACTGGATCTCTAGAGTACCCATCCGTAGTTCTTTCATCATTTTTAAGAGAACTTTCTCTTTATTTTCTTCTATGTTTTGAACTCCTTCTGGTTTCTCCTCTATTTTCTAAATTTTTTGTTCATCTTTTATTATCATTTGCTGAGGGTTTTCTAGTCTCACATCTTTATTCTGCATCAATTCCATCACCTCCCTATGATTTCTTGTCTTATCTTCCTGAATGCATTGAAACATCAATAATATTTCTTTATAAATCATATTTGTTTTCCCCTGTTGAAACATCTTATACTCTTAATGAGTTAATAGTAATTCAATATTCCACCAAGATTCCAATATCCCAATTGCCCAGAAACACCCAAAAACATCAATGTTAATAGAATTTACACAGTCCCGGAACTGTTCCTCAAAATCTCCTAAATTTATAGTCCTTAGAATTTCCAATGTACACTCTCCAAATTTCCCAAATTTTTAAGTCTTGTTTAATTTTTCTTCTTTCTTCTTTCCTTTTCGCCTCCTAGAATGTTCAAATAGTCTTAATAATCTAGATTGGCCCACCAAATTTCCCCAAATGTCTTTAATCCACAGAATCAAATATTCAATTTCAAAGATGCTTCTTATTAATTTTAATCCACCTTGCCTTAGAAATCTTCAAAAGACTCACTCAGAGGAGACGTGACCAGTGTCACGGTGGCACAACGCTTTTCTCAGATGCTTCTGAGAAAACATTGATATCAAAGTCGTTTGGGGTGTTTATTGACCAAAAACTGTCTCGGAGGGACGGTGAGCAAGAAAGGCATGGACTGGCTAATGCAGGGGAATCTCAATTCCCTGGTTAGTCAGAAGTAGCCTTTCAACCAGACAATCTAGAAAGCGGCCATTAAATGAGCCGCAACAAAGCTGGGGCGGTCACAGCGGGACCGGAGAAGCAACAGACGTGGATTCATCTGGGTGAAAAGCCGATTTTTCTTTTTGCTTTCTGATTCGAAGTTTCTTTTTCATAAACCACGGGAAACAACTTGAAGGAAAGTGAAGGGTGCAAAGAGAAGAGGGGAGAGTGGGGTGTGTGTGTCAGCTCTCTACCCTCAGCTGTTTAGCGGTGAAGAAAGTGGATTGACCCAAGTGGAAGAAATGAATTGAATGAAGTAACAAAATTACTTTGGAGAACAAGAAAATAAGAACAGGAAGCCTGATTGAATATTTGTAAATTTTGGATTTGTGGATTTATCCTAAAGGAATGAGACTGAGTGGAAATTATTGAAAGAATTAGTTATAAAACTTTTCCTACTATTTTCCCCCCCACTTTTTCTTTTCTTCTGAGTGAAAGTGGTTTACAGCGCCATCTAGAGACACAAATAAAAAGACATGGTTTCAAATAAACTGACTGAGAGGACTGGCCTTGATTGGACTGATAAGAAACAGCTGTATCTGGCAAGAGCTGCATACTGAGATAGATAGCCCTAACAGAAGTTGAAATAGTGTGCCTTTTGAAGCTTTTGAAACAGAAATAAGAACAAGACAAGTGAGACAATATAAACAGCCTTGTTTGGGAATCTTTTTTTTTTCTGGTGGTGGTTTTCTTTTGCTTTTTTTGCTTTTTTTCTTCCTCTCTTTTGGCTTAGGATTTGACCATTTTTAGTGATTCCTTTTCCTTTTTTTTCTCTTGAATTATTTCCATTGATTGGATTGAGTTTTGTATCTTTTTTTCCCTTTTTTTCTTTTCCTTTTTTTTGGCTGGTTGGTTTTTTGAGTGTTTGAACTTTGATGATATATAAAAAAATTGGATTAAGGTAAGAAGAACCTGAAGAATCAGAAGTCTTTGGTTTCTTCTTCTTCTTTTTCCCCCCTTTTTATTCCCTTTTGGCCTTTTGCTATGTGTTTTTGGTGTGATGGAGCCTTTTGATTTCTATTTTTAACCAATCCATTCAACGGGGTGGATTAGGTATTTGGATAAATTTAAATCGTATTTGGATTATAAATTCAGTGGATTATAGTAGACAAGACAGGACAAGATGAAGAAAGCAACAATGCAGTTACCTTCCACAACACCAGCTTCAAGCCCTGCAGTGCAGAGGACACTGGATACTATGGCCATGCAATTGGAACTAAAAAATATGATACAGATTTTTCATGATGACTTTAAAGAAAGAATGGAGAAGGTAGAAGGAGAGCTTAAAGAAGTAAAGGTGATGATGAGAAAGAATGAAGAAAGAATACAGAAACTGGAGGGTTAGGGTTAGAGATACTAACTAGAGATACGGAGGCTAGAGATATGGAGATATTGGCGGAAGTGGTGGAGGAAACCAAGGAAAAGATATTAAATGGGATTGATGAGATATACAGAGTGCATACTCGATATGCAATGAGAAATAAACTGCCAAGAGAGGTGCATGTAAGATTTACCAGGAAAGCAATAAAAACAGAAACATTACAGGTAGCAAGAAATACTCCAATAAAATACAAGGACAGAGAGATTGTGGTGTTGAAACAGATACCCAGGAGAGTGAGAGACCTGAGGAGAGAATACCAATTTTTGCCAAAACCTTTGATCCAAAAAGGAGTAAATTTCAGAAGGTTAATACCAGAAGGAATATTGGTTTACTAGCAAGCGCAAAGACATAGACTGGACTCGATAGAGAAAGTGGAATTATTTTATGACCAATATTTGGGGCCCCAAGAAGAGCAAAGATTGAGAGAGGAAAAAGAAGCTAAAGTCCAAGATGAAGCGGTGAAAGAAAAAGATCAAAAAAGAGAGACGATAAAAGAACAAGAAAAGGCAATAAGAGAGGGGGCAAGGTCAAAAGAGCCCAAGGATCAAAGAGAGATAAGAACGACAAGATCAACAAAAACTATAAACAAGTAAAACATGGAAGAAGAAACCAAAGCAATATCAATAAATATTAATGGTTTGAATTCGGTGATAAAAAGGAAAAGAACTCTTAATAAATTGGGGAAACTAAAAATGGACATTGTATGCCTACAAGATATTCATATTAGAAAGCAACACAAAAAATTATGGGAGTATCCAAAATTGGGTGATTTGTTTACTGCATTGACATATCAAAGTAAAAGAGGCATAGTATTATACATTAAAA